GGAATTCAACTAATCGTCATACACATCTGCGCAAGTTACGAACAATGTAAAACGTCAAATAAAACGCAAAAGATTTACAACGACATTAATATCCATCACTACCGATTGTGAAATGGTAAACCATTCAATAATATTAATGTTATAATTAAACAGATAACAAACAGTAGTCATTACCGGTTTGACGATAAACTTTTGGAAGGGCGATTGACTCGGAAATCTATTTATTGGTGTGGCAACCATTTTGTTACATTTATTTGAAGTAGATTGTCAAAAGTTAATGTTTTATTTAGATGTAAAGAGTAGCGAAATACAAGATTTCCAGCAGGCTTTTAAATTTTATTATCTTTGATACATATTACTGTAAGATCATATTTGAATAGACAATATTGAAATTGTTATAATAATAATAGAAAGAAATATAAATCTAATAACATAACCGATAATTCGCACTCAGATATAGTAACTCCTGAAAAAATAAAAACACATTTTTTTATGGTGACGTCTGACTTGCATTTATTTTATAATCTATAGCATGCTTAGTGGCTAACCTCAATGCTGAAATTACTATTTTTACAACACCTAGAATTGTTTTACGTATTTCTAGATTTATCTATTAAAAACAAGGGCATATGCTCCACACAGTTTACCTACTATGCATTACTTATTTATTATTACTAGTTTTTGAACTATACATATACTAATATATAAAGCTCGAAAGTTTGTTTGGTCGTTTGTTTGTTTAAACGCGCAAATCTCAGGAACTGCTGGTTCGTATTGAAACAATATTTTTGTGTAGTTAGAGCATTTATCGAGTAAAGCTATTGGCCATAACACGATGTTACTAATAGGAGCAAAGAAACAGCGGGAAATGTGGAAAAACTGGGAAAATTATTCATCTAAGAGGGTTTCCAATCCGTGCGCTGCAAAACCACGGATCACGAAACCAAAACAATATGTATGAAACAATGATTCCTCTTTAAATTATCTAAAAAATGTCTGCCACAGTATATGTCTATCTTTTAAGATCAACTTGCAAGGAGCGTTGTTCGCAAAAAGAATTACGCCCAAATTAACTATTCTATGCGAGTTAAGTTACTGGCACAGCTAGTTTACAATAAACAGATTTACATTGCCAATTAGGCACAGTAAACAAACAAATAAGATGGAATTTTATCAGAAAATATACATTACGAAGTTAATGCGCAAAATGACGGATTTTGTTAATGTACAGCGATGCGAATCGATTTTCATATTTCACGATAAATGTTAATTATTCGATTATTGCATTGATAACGTTAGGTTTAACTGGTTTTTTAGTTTTAGTTTTAACTTACTGATGAGTTATCTGACTTGAATCTTGGAAAAAATAATTAAGGATTGTCTTCGAGAAGAGTGAGTAAAATAAACAAAAAGTAACAATGGTATGCAATATTTGTTGCTACTGAATTCAAATTCCATACATACTCTCTTAATTTTTTGCTCATGCAAGAAACTCAACAAAAAATATGAAAGCTGTTAACCATATATAATTTTATTTAAATAAACCTTGACGGTTTAAAACGTGATATATATTAGGTAAACTTATTTAAAAATTGATTTTAACTACGACCCGATGTTTCGGATTCTTTGCAGCAGCCGTGGTAACTAGACTTTTAATAAGTAAAACATTTCGCGTTTTAAACCGTCATAAGTGTTTTATTACGCGTAAACTACAGATAGTATTTAATTTGATTTAATCTAAGGAATAGAGAAAACAAGTGACAACTCTACAAGCAAATAAAATATCAATTAGTTCCTAATTCGTTTCAAATATCAAAATGGTACTAAACTTTACGTAGCGCTCACTATCGCAGTTTCGTAACACGAACTAAAATCCTTGAAGCTACAGACTATACAAATATTGGTCACATTTGGACATCGTGATCGCATAATTTGAAACGTTTTACTTTTTATGGAGATAGTTAAGAATTTAGTTTCTATATTAATTCAAAAGCATCAAAAAGTAAGCCATTAAAAGGCTTTAACTAATTAAATATGTACCGTCTGTAGGTTACGCAAGTAGTACACATTTAAATAAAACTCTTTTAACGGTTTAAAACGCGATTTTTATGGGCACGGAGAGGCCGGCTGTTGCAAAGCACCCGACGGGCTGTAGTTAATACAATTTTTAAAGTTTGACGAATATTTCGTAAATAAGTTTAAGGAACATAATATTTCTAAATACACTTCTTTGTAAAGTTAAATAACAGAAGAGTGATACTTGTATGACGAACTCGTTGGTAAATGAGTTTAATGGTAGCAGTATATCATTACGTATCGTGGTTTCAATTCCCAGCCCAACATTTTATAATTTTTCTGAAACATGTTGTTGATTTTGTGTGGAAATCTGGATATAAAATGGGTATATGAAAATACCACTCTAGTCACGAACCACCACCACAGCAGATGAAAAAGCCGTCAAGTTTAATCGTATTGTGTCTGTGGTTTTCCGAATATCCAAAGTCAAAATAAGTCGACAACACATCTTGTTTAAATGGCTAAACCTATCATCTAGTGAGCCTCATACTTGTCTGTCCTCTATTATAAAAAAATTACATGTGTAACAGACACATTTGTGTGACCGTTTCTCCTACCTATAAGATAGAACAACTTCTGCGTTCTCGGAAAATGCGTGCACAAGCGTTTGCGCTTAACGCCAGTAAACGTACTCAGTAACGGAAGCGTGTAGATGGCCACAAGGATAAAGTCCCATCTGTCCGAAAGATGAAACTTACACGCTATTAATCGAAAGTCAAGTGAATTAACCCAATTAACCAAAGAGGATTAACCTTTCGAAGGCCGGATACACGTTATAAGTATTTGTCCTACTAAATACTACTACTACTTTTAGCCAAAATGGGTCAATAGCGCACCATAGATTGCGCACTTATAGAGTTTAGATGTTATGTGGCTGGGATATCACCTAACATCATGTGAACCCCGTGCTTATCTGTCCTCTATCATAAAAAATACACAGTAAAAATAAATCATCTCTACATATTTAAATAAATTCTAAATGTTTTTATTTACCAACAACCAATACAATACCATTAAGTAACATTTTGTTTTTACTTAGCTAACTAACACCGTAAGTGCGTAGCAGATTTGACAATCGGACACCCTCCATATTAAGGCTCCTGTGACCATGACTGGTGCAAAGCATCCGAAACGTCGACGCATAGTTTAATTTAAAAAAAAATTAACTATTTAAAAAATATTTCGCTTTTTAAACCGTTAGAAAGCGAAAAATACTTGTAAGCTGTATGACACAACTTAAGTCTGATGATGTACCAAAAACTTAGTTCTTTGTTTGTTGCAATATGACATAAGATAATACGATTTCTCATTTGATAGTTATTGTCTTTTAGTAATTATAGTAGATATTCAAAAGTTTCACAGGTCTTTCAATTGTGCCTTAATCTAGCCAATTTAAGACAAATAAGACTAACTTTTGGATGATACATGACTATAATTTACCAAATAGCTAGATAAGGCAAAGGGACAAAAACAATTTTTAAAATTCAACTACAAAACGCTATTAGCCGTAACGTGATTCACACTTAATGCATTTAAGCAACAAGCAACACTCGAGTCTAGTTATTTGTGTTTGTAAACGCATACCTTGGCCCATGAGGAATCGCTTAGAATGTGCTGGATGTTCGGTTTAGGCTCCTCATATACGTAACGGATTGTATTTGTCTCGACTAAACGCAGTAAAATAAAGGTGCAGAGCACTACAGTGAAAACTATTAGGCAACAAAAATAAGATAACATTTACATCGATATTGTACGTTATGTCACGAATGATAACTGCAGGCGAACCTTAGTAAATAAAACGTAAAATGTTTTACGATATACTTCATAACTTTTTTTAAAAACCTCTAATGAAAGTCAGTTATTAATAATCTTTTAAAAGAGCTTGTTATCAGATTCCATTATTATTATTTGTTTAGCATGTCACGAATGACATTCATTGTTTAAAGGATTCTAACCGTCTTTAATTTGACATCAGTGACTTTCATTTACAAGAACACTTAATCAGTGATTGTTTATAGTTTAAATACTTTCTATTTCTATAATGCACATATTTTTTTAGCATTATAAAATGTAAACAATTACCTCGAGTTGTCCTAACTATATTTAACAGATAAGTGATGTTAGAAATGACAATAATAATTTTCAATCCAAATAAGCGTTAATATTATATTAAATTATATAGAAGTTTACTTATTTAATTAAGTTTATTATGTACGTTTAGTGTTAATTCAAGCAAGAATTTAATATCATAATAATAAAGCATACAAAGTAGCTATCCTTTTTAAACTACTTTCTTGTTTAATATTTAAATAAGCTACGGTCGCTAATTCGTTTGTTTATGAACAGCCTTATAAGTTACTGCGTTCCACGCGCCAGGCGCTTACGGCTACTGAATAATGATTCATATATTTTTTAACATAGCATCTTGAATGTACATAGCAAATATGTATCATTTGTTCTGCGATAGTATGTCAAACGATTCTCATAATATTTACGCAATTGAAATAAAGGGGGTTATGTATTATAGTAGAAACGAAAAAATCATCCTACTTGGCTCAGACAAATAATATCAAAATTCAAATGCAACGAACTACTTTTATGTTTATAGTATGAAGTTCAGAATCTGGAAATTGGGTGTTTACTTAAAAATCTGATTCAATCTTTCTTTTTTATTTTCTGACTTTTTCTAATATTCATTTATATACGACCACTTATTACACCAATATTTATAATAAGTTGTTTGAAGTAGCACTAGTTCAAATTACGTTTAACGGGTGTTTAGAGCAGTGGTTAAAAATTAAATGTTTGATTTAACACCTTTATCAAAGTCGATCTACAAATATTTACTCAATTGAATTCATCTGAACGTAACTTTTAACTCGAAAGTTTGAATTCTCCATTTGCAGAAGTTTGAACACCAAAGGATGGACAAGAAAGAAATCAATTTGGACTCCGTTCTCGAGAGCTTGGGACCGTATGGACGGTACAATCTATTGAATTTCGTCCTTCTGCTCTTCCCAGTACTGTTAAGTAGTTTCTACGAGTGTGGTTTTATATTTGAGGCGCAAGAACAAGTCTATCGGTGAGTGATTCTCCATTTCGATTGTTAAAAATAGTCTACAACTGTAACTCAATTGTTGATACTATGATTAAATGCTGTCGATATACAGTAATTTTAACAACAAAGGGTCATCATCTATTCTAGCTGAAACTCGTTTTGCCTCAAAGCCATTTTCATATATGTACTAAAAATAGTCTTAGTTACATGAACTCTATAAATATGTCAAACTAGCATTTGTTATTTTAAGAACTTTTAAATTTACCTGCATTGGCATGATAAGCCCTTCTGGAGAAAAAACTTTCGAGCTTGCTAAAATCTATTAAGAGTCACAGAAATCATTGCATCCCACACGTAGTATAACATGGATCGAATGGCTGTGAAACATGTAAAACACTCGACGAGCTGATTACAGCTCAATAAAAGATAAACCATGAACCATTTACCATCACGTAAAATTAAGATATCTAAATTGGCTCCGAGGAGATAAAGATGCGTGTACTATTCTGATAATATTGGTTCACTCCATAGCATTACGTCACGCATGAGATATACATGGCACGATGACGAAACGAAATTACTATTTTGGATTTACTGTATGCACACTTGGCGAACTGTTTTGGGAAAAAGAATATAGTCCATAGATTAAAAATGTGCCTTACGATTAAAGAACAAAAGTGCTTTTCTATTTATGAAAATTAATCTCAGTATTTTTCCCTGTGGATACATCAAACGTCATAGTCAATAAAGTCACGTGATCTGTTGCGGTATTTTTATGAAAGCATTTTTCTTATTAATAGAAACGCTTAAAAATAATTTATAATGCATAGTTGTCGTCTTATGAGCTCACAGAGACGATAAGTCGCCTGTTGAAATCGACTTATATTCTTAGTACAAAATATGATCAAGAAAAAGCCATAATTAGCCAAAATCACGTTCATTCTATTATTTATCAGTAAAAAATTTACACAAATATGAGACTGCCAGAGTGGCCTAATAACAAAAAACATGATTTTCAATAATACGTAAAATAAAATGCAATAACTTAGGCTAATATGAATACATAAAATTGTTAAGAAATTGTTAAAATTTTTGGTCACTGTGCTCTTGTAAATTAACATTTTAAGACTATAAAAATATTAATAACTCTAAAGTCATAAAATTGCAGTTAAGCAACTCCGCTAGCGGCCTCATTTAGTCGTAGATCTTTCCCAAAATGTTATATATTCCCAATATCACTCGTTCAATATAATCTTTCGCAGATGCAAAGTGGATGGCTGTGAAAACACATACAATGACACATCGTGGCTCAAATTCGCTATACCCATAGATAAAACCAGAGACAAACTAGACTCTTGCAAGAGATACGCTCCCTATGGCAGCGTACAACAATGCGTACCAGAGGAATTTAGTAATAAGACGATACCTTGTGATACTTACGTATATGAGCTGGATGGTTCTTTGGTGGAAGAGGTTAGTGTTTAAACTTTTCTTTACAGGCGGGTAGTCCACTATGTTACCTTGTCTATCTTAAGTGTCTATATGATAAGTTATACATAAGCCATTCAATAGTTCGTCTTAGATTAGTTATCGGTTATAGCACGGACACCTTTCTTTGTCCCTTTCACTGATATATATTTTTTCTTTCAAAAAAAACACTTTAACCGTTTAAAACGCGATATATATATTACTTAACTTATTTGAAAATTATAATAATACTATGGTTCAAACCGTCAAAGTGTTTTATTTAAATGTGTACTTCTCGCGTACAGACAGTATTTATAGCTTAGATATCCTTTTTTAATAAATGCTATACTTTACCTATGAACACCCAAGCGATATTAAAATATATTTCCAGTTCGACCTAGGCTGTCAAGAATGGAAGCGAGCCCTCGTGGGCACTGTCCACAATAGTGGCATGTTCGTGGCCATGCTTTTCACTGGCATCCTGTCAGATCGCTTCGGAAGGAAGGCAGCGGTCGGCCTAGCAGCGACCGCCAGTTGCCTCTTTGGAATCATTCGAGCATTTGCACCCAACTACACCGTTTATATGGCTATGCATTTCTTCGAAGCAGCCATAGGTGGGGGATTGTATCCGTCAGCTTATGTTTTGGGTAAGTATGGTTATGAGTTAAATTAGTAGAAATATGCTAAAGGTTCTCATAATACACAATTTACAAGTCTTAGTTTTTTATTTGTGTCTGTCGTTATTTACCACTTACCTTGTCCTCTATATAGCCCTTTCTAAGAATATAACGAAATTTTTGTTGTCTGTCTTGTAACTGGTTTAAAATCAAAAATTAAATTAATTCCCCTAAAAAAAACACATTAAGTAAGTAAACTAAGCATTTAATACAACTTATAGGTTTACTTCATCAATATCAAAACCAATTTAAACTGATATTTATCAGGAAATATAAATAAGCAATTATTTTTTAATTATCTGTGGAACGACGTTTTTAGCATTTTTACACATATTGCTAAATACCTCTACAATTGAGTAGCACCTGTGTCATTTGCATCAGATACTACCTATATAATCTTCTAAGTAATTCAGTAGTATATTTTCACAACGATAAAAACCATTTTATTGTGATAACGACACAGATGGGATTTAAACCGACACTTAAAATTCCGTTTCGTAATCCTAAGATATGATTATGTAACCTTAAATTTAATCTTATCTTAAAATGTATATCAGAAAGAACAGCATAGCGCTGTACAAAAATATCTTGCACCTTTAAGTTTCCCACGCTTTCAAGTAATACGTCTTTCTCGATCGGGTCATTGAATGCATAATTCCTTTTACAGCCGTTGAGCTGGTCGGCCTCAAACAGCGTGTGATTGTCTCCGCTATGTGCAACATGGCCTTCGTGGTTGGGGTCGTCTTGCTAGCCCTCTTAGCGTGGTTCATTAACAATTGGAGGACGTACATCCTCATCCTGTACAGCCCGGCCATCATCGTCGGCTTATACGTATGGCTGATGAACGAGAGCGCTAGATGGCTGCTCAGCAAAGGCAGGAAAGACGAAGCGATCAAAACCCTAAAACGGGCAGCCAAAATCAACAATATGGACCCGGCTAAACTGGATTTAGATGCGTTAAGTAACCCCCTACTACGAACGGAGAGCACGCCGGATCGGAAGTCACAGTTCTCGAAAGCGATACGATCGAGTATAATATGGAAGCGTTTGGTGATTTGCTCGTTTCTGTGGTTGACTTGCTCGCTGGTTTACTACGGGTTCTCGATCAATTCGGTTTCCCTAAGCGGAAACAGATATGTGAGTTTTATGCTGGTGACAATTGTGGAGATACCGGCATATATTGTGGTTGTGATCGTGCTTGATAAGTATGGAAGGAAGAAGACGATGCTGGTCAATTACGCCACGTGTGCTGTAACTAGTTTGCTCTTCGCTTTCTTGCCTAAAGGTCAGTATCAATATGTGTGATAAGTTATATAGTCTTGTATTATAATATTCCATTAAGAAGGTAAGATTTATAGCGTCACTATATGGACAGCCCATTTCTAAATCCGTTCACTATTTTTTTTATTAACAAGATCTTCCGTAAATAAATATTTAATAAATTATGAAAATTTCAGTTAATTCTTATTTCAATATATTATTCATGTATGTTCAATCATTATAATTGATAATTAAAAATTGCATAGGCGGGTCTCGAACCCATATCAAATAATCTCTAAACATAAAAATTAACTACATATAAGTTAAGACTACGATTGCTTAAAATATACAACTAATATGTTTAGATATTTAACAATACCACTCTGCTGTTTCGTAGTTTAACTAACAGATATGTAGTTTAATTTTAGTTACTCTGGCAGGTAACTTTTAACCGGTCAGCATAGTTTCGTCCCCAATAGTTATATTTAACTTGGTTTTCTGGGGCAGTTAATTTTGCTGATCTCTTTTCACGCGCGTTTTCGGGTACCAGTTATCATATTGACCTATTAAGATACATTTAAAGATAAGCCATTTTTAATATATCATAGTAGAATCGAATTTACCAGTTGCTCGATGGCGTACTGCCATTGTTTCTGGGTTCGAATCTCGTGGAAACATAGTAAATAGTTTTGGCTTGACAGGACACGGATGTCAAATTTTCTATTCTCTTGTTATTAAAATATATCGACAAAACGGTAACGAAAATATGTCTGCCTCCACCACCACAAAGGAAAAACGGAACATCATACATTGCTTATTTGGCAATATAATTGTAGCCTTTACTAGTATACAATTATTTGATAACCTTAAAATAAAACGGTTAGAAACGCGAATTATATAACTAAACTTTTAATTCATTTTTACTACGGCTCGATGTTTCGGACGCATCGCAGCAGCTAATAATAAGTTAACTTAATATATTTCTTGTTTTAAACCATTAAAAGTGTTTTATTTAAATGTGTGCAACTACGAGCAATATTTATTTTACACTTTTAATCTGTCCCTTAAAACATAACTCTCTAAAAATCTTGCTGTTTGTTTGGAAAAAATAATATGTTTATTTTTGATCGGAACAAACAATATAACACAGACATTCTACAACGGTAAACATGTGTTTTTCGATAAAATCTTGTGTGACCCAGATTATCAAACACGTGTATCACATGATGATGCGACTAAATGCTTTTTAATTGCTTAATGTTACCGTACTTCAAGCATTGATAAGAACCTATTGTGCATCAAGCTATCTATCTTTATGTAAAATATTTCTAAACGTTAATGGTTTTAAGCGCTTTTCGTAACATACGAAGAACGCATAGTATATAAAAACAAATTAATTTTATTTAAATGTATATTAATTAAAAATCGATAAAATGAAAAAAATTACGACACGGGCAGAACTCGAACCGGTATGTAAAGCGTTCCGTCCTGTTGCTCTAACCAATTGAGCTACCATGTCTTACACGTCATCGTCAACTTGTTCAACGATCGCGCAATAATTGTTATGTTTTAATTTAGATGTTTTTAATTTCTTTAAGCTAGTATGTTTATTATCACTTCTTATATGCCAATTAAATGTCAAAAAGACAATAATTTTTGCGGAATATATTATACTACTGCAATGCACCCAAAACGTCGAGATCTATTTAAAAATAAGTTAAACCGTTATTTATTAATGACACATACTAAACATGAAATTACAATTTCGGCGCACACTATCGGCGCATCTTACTAAAGTATATATTTTTAAATTGTAACCTTAGCTTCTTACTAATCTATAACATCGATCTGATAAAATGTTGCGGTAGGTCTCCACGGTTACAAAACTAGACGGCAGCCATGTATTGTATTACAGTTGACCCTGGTTATAGATAATATGTATTTTGTTACGAGACTACCGGATATTTAAGTATTATGTATCTCAATATACATCTGTAATCTATATAAAAACGATACAAATACTCATACGGTATTTTAGTGTATATAAGGCAGTGTAACGGTAGCATGTATGGCTGATAATCAGTTGTGGGTTCGATCCACACCGGTTCCAACAATCTATAATTTTCCTAAAACACGTTGGACATCGTCTGGAAATCTGGATATTAAATTGGTGGTAGGAATATCGATATTCCGTCCGGGTCACGTAACACCGTCCGCAGATGAAAAGTTTGATCGCGTTTGGCTTCACTCTGTGGATTTACGAATATGTAACCCAAGCCATAATACTTCAAATTGCGTTTTATCGAAGTCTACAGCATCTTACGTATCATCAAGTAAAACCGATACTTCTACGTCTATCTTTCTCTTCATTAAAAACGAAATAGTTACACATAACATTAAACAAACACTCTACGAAACATTAAAAAAGCGAAACTTATATCAATAAAAATTGGCTTCCTAGTAACCAGTAAACATTTTATAAGTACTAAATTTGATTATTTTTTACAGGTAACTGGTATTCAATAGTGTTGTACCTGATCGGTAAATGGAGTGTTACACTAACATACAGTTCTGTATACATTTATGTATCCGAAGTTTTCCCCACAAATATGAGACAGATGCTGCTCAGCGTATGCTCTACTTCAGGGAGGATTGGCTCTCTCATAGCGCCGTTGACACCTTTATTGGTAAGTTTCAATGAAACACTTTTAACGGTTTAAAACGCTAAATTATTTTACACTCTCCCAATTTCCCTTATAACCGAGATTGAATAATCATGAAAGCTAGAGCCACGTTTACTCTTTGTGTAGACTCTGACAGTATCAGTCGTTGATATTCATATTATGAAGAAAATTCAAATGTGATGTCGTCCCAACTGTGGGAATTGTTAAATTACTGATGACGTTGCTACGAATATAATCAGCAGGAAATCTTTCATTATTAGTATCAACAGATTTGAAAATTTCATTCGTCTTTATTGTATCTATATTAAGAGCTTATCCTAACAAAGTAATCTTTTATTATTTCTTTTTCTGAATCGATTTTGTCGACTGGCGATTGCCGTAATGTGCAACGTGCATTTTGGCAACGGATCAAGTACTAAAATAAATCATGCATATAAAAATATACAATTTTCTTTGAACTTCAAACAATTGACTTTGCTTACAAACAACTTCTTAGCAGCCCGAATCAATATATACACTGTAGTACTAAATCTAAAGGCTAAAATCATTTAATATTAACACAGACAGTATCGATTATACTGTCTGTAGTTAACGCGAGTAGTACACATTAAAATGTAACTCTTCGATGGTTTGTAACGCGATATATATTAGTTAAACTCGACGTGTCCACGGCTGCTGAAAAGCATTCGAAACGCCGTAGATAAATAATTTAAAATAAGTTTAACTTATATTTATCGCGTTTTAAACCGTTAGAGTGTTTTATTTAAATGCGCAGAATAAAAATATATTCTTTAGTAATATGCACATGTTTACATTATAATATAAATTAAAAATGTATTCTACCTTGCCAGCATTTAGTTACCAATTGAGCTACAGTGTCACTCGTTTTGACACGGTAGCTCATTTGGTTAGAGCAAGAACACTGTACGCTATAAATGCCAGTTAGAGCCATTTTTATTTTTAAAATATATTCTTATAAATCTCCGTTTAACTATAAGCTAAAAAAACGTAGGTCCTTTAGTTCACCTATGAAGAAGCAAAGGTTTTTATGTGCAAGAATTTACGCACAAAGCAAAGTTTCACGCATGGTACAGTCATATGGATTGTTAATACAGCGAATTATATATGTGGATATTATTTTCATAGTCATTTCTTCAGACTAAAAAGTACTTTTTACGTTTTTTCAGTCCCTCTACCACAAATCCATGCCAACCGTGATATTTGGCGGCATGTGCATCATATGCACCATGCTAGTCGTCTTGCTACCAGAAACCCGAAATATGCGTCTTCCAGACACGATAGAAGAAGCAGAACAGTTATCAAGGAAGAAGAAACCATCTCTCACAGAATTAAAGGGAATTTGACATCTTCGAAGACAAATATGGTAAAAGACACGTTCCGTTTACGGTTATCGCAGTACCAAAAAATTGGCCAAAACTGAGCTACATAATTGTGTTAATAGCACACATTTTAACACAATGTAATTACAGTATGAATACAATGTAATTAACTCCTTAAATTACAATGTCAATTTTATTTTAATTAAATGACATAATACGGAGATTTAAAATCTATACATGAAGAAAGAAATGCATTTTGAAAATTGCTTTTACGAAGATGTTCAAATGTTCCCTTTGGATGGAAGATTAATATCAAAGAATAACGATCTAAAATGAAAAACATATATAAACCCCTTCAACGGTTATAAACGCGAAATATAATAGTCGCGGTCACGTGGTCACAAAACGTATGGCCGTAGTTAAATTTAATTAAAGTTAACTAATATTCATGTTTTATACCGTTAAGTGTTTTATTTAAATGTGGACTATTCTATATTTTTACAAATACTATTGTTTGTTTTCCGGTTTGTCTTGCGCTTTTGCTGTCACAATCCGTAATCAAAGGTTTTACCAATAAAATAGTGCAGTTACCTGTGAAGTATAAAAAATATTGCATAAATAAAACGAATATAGTTACTATTTTCTCTATAAAACTAGACAATAGGACATATAAATCTCTATTCGAGAGACATTGTTTAAAACCGCCGTAACGATCATTCAATATTTTACAGTTTAAACTCTAAACGCGATTTTATTATTTACGGCTCAAAGACACAATGCTCTCCATCAAATAACTCTATTGTTATAACAATGTTATGTTGCAAAATATATGAAGAAACGAAATTTATAGGGTTATAAAGCGATTGAATTTTAAAGGTATGGAGAGGATGGTAAGAACCGCCATCTAGCTTTTGCTTTTTCAAAACACTCTGCTGTAGTGATGGCAGACCTACTAAATCTGGTGAAAATTACGATACCACTAATTTTTGTTAACCAAAAAGCATTACATTTTCTAACAAAAGTAACATTAAATTCTGAAAGTTGTAGCGTTGTGGTAGCTCAATTGGTTAGAGACCAATTGAGCTACCGCGTAGCAATGGTTAGAGCAACAGCACGGACCGCTGTGGACGTCGGTTCAAGTCGAGCCCGTGTCGTAATTATTCGATATAGAATCGATGCCATCGTGTACAAAAACATGTATAAAATATTAAAGTTTTCAAGAATCAAATTATCACTGTACAATAAGTATTAAGTTTTATTGATTTAAAATTTAGTAATGGAACTACAATATTTCATTGCATTTCTAGTTATTTTTTCATTATAAAAAGCAAGCATTTTTAGTTATTTGTAAGAAAATCTTGTGCACCGTATTATTTATAAAAAAGTGGGAAGTTTAATACGTCAATATAAGTTGCTTGCATGTGAACAAGTTAACATGTTTATTTATACTTACTGTTGTAGAAGTATCAATCAATTCCTGCCTACTTATTTAATTGATGTTAACTTATCATTGTTTTTAATTAGTACAAAAGTAAGTAATTGTTGTCTTTAAATAGTGTATTAACTTTTTGTACTTACATTTGAACGACAAAACGTATTAAACGCTATATTTAGCAAAACATGACCTTTCTTGTATTTATTTGGTAAAGTTCATTAAACTTTGCATTATTTTTCTTTATATTGTATATGCTTATCGATAGTAATATACGGCTATTTGAAAATTGTTATATTACTTCTTTTAAAATGTTTTTCTGTTGAATATTATTTATTCCACGATCTGACTTAGTAAATCAATGCAAGAATAGACTAATGCTTAAAATATTTTTAGTCTGTGCAAAGTACTCAAATCAAAAAGTTTTAATTCATAATTATGTATAAGTTTAATTAGCTAATCACAAAATCACAAACTAAATGCATTATAATATATTAACATTAGGGACCAAACTTCGGAATTACCGGTTTTTAATTTTTTACATAAAAAATATATTGATTGTATCTAGAATCTAGATATTTATATAAGTAATTTATTTCCAATTTATTATAACACCAAGTTTTTTTGGATATTTGTTTTATTGTCACCCCTTGTGTCATAGACAATATTTAATGAAAAAATCATTAATTTTAAAAATTTTCTCATAAATCCAATTTTTTTAATTTTATAGCCAAGAAGCCGCGGTGATCAAGCCTACTAGACTACTTATTTATTAAAAGACATATCGAACCGGCATTTATGCCATGAAACCCTTCTGAAATAAAATAATCAATATTATTAATTCAAAACCATCGCAATGCTAAGTGCTGCGCTCTACAAGTCAGGCAAAGAATTAACATATAGATTCGAAGGTACTAGAAACAATCGATGTTTTAAAATCTTGTTGTTCTAAGACAGTTATTGAGCCACTCAAAATTCATTCCAGATTGTCCACAAAATAATTTATACCATAAAATATTAAACAGCGTTTCCTTACTAATAAATTGTTGGAGCTCTGAATAATTCAGTCCCGACGCGAGATCGACAAGCTCTTGAATATCTCAGTAATTACTTAAGCGATCTCTAATATTCACATACGCTTGATACAGCTTGTTTAGAGCTATTCACTCCGGCTTGTAAATGATAGTAAGCTTATATAGCTACAGTCAACTTAAAAGTCTTGGAATTTGTATAAACATAAGCTGTAAGAACTAAAATATTACCGATATATATTTTTTAAAATTTCATTTCATAATAAAAAATATCAGCAATGGCATATCAATAAACATTATAGGAGATCTGAAAATAACATACACACGTACAAAGATAGAAAAAAATGCTTATTGTTCGTTAATGCATATATGTATTTGAATATAACACTAGCGAAATACACCTTAATAATACGATAATTATCCCGCACGTGAGAATAAAAGGAGATTCCTTATTTGTGTAGAGATAATATCGTAAACATAACGAAACAATATCCACTAATATTTGTCACTTTTCTTATTTTTAATCGACTCCACAAGAGGTAATTCTATTTATCTTTACGGGAAATATATAGACAGAGTTATATACAAGCATAGCAATATAAAAAAAAGCAAGCGCAAATCAAAAATTGAAAATTTCTCGTTATTTACGTGAAAATGAATGCCGTGCGCCGTAACTGCCGCTCGTCAATCCCACAAAGAGCTTTTATGTGTGTATTAATATTTAGGGATGCGCCGAAACTAAGTATACCTAGTATCGATATTGACAAACCATTACAATATAAATTAATGTTCTTAACCTTCTTAAGAGCGAAAACGTCATAGCAAAATTTATTATGTAACTTCTTGCAGTGAACATGTAGAAGGAGTCATAGATGCTGACTGGATCAACTTGACTTTGAAATGGTGAATAGTATCGATGTCTCTTAATAACGTTTCTAAATGTACAGAGATTCTATAGTTTTAGCAAATGATATTATGTTATGAATCAAAATATATAACCGTAGGAGTTTATCGATAGTCGATCGCGTCCCATGCCAACCCTACGTTATTTAAGAGTGCAATATTTGGGGTCCGCGACCTGAAGCACAAAGAGGGAGTTGTTGCTTAGTTGCAACTTACCTCTTTCTTACAATTACTGAGAAAGCTGCGGGCGAGAAATGATTGAGAAATAGGGAAATGGTATAGACGCTCCTATAAGCTCGTGTACAAGAATTTTTACTCCTACATAGTCAAATCATTAGTGGGATTGTAAGATTCCTTCTTCAGTATATTCATATTCTTTTCTTAGAGAAGCAATACCATCTCTAGAATGAAAGACTCGAGTCCTCATCTTCTCTTTCCGCATAGCTTAAACTCTTTCTTCAAAGATGAGATCATGTTTTGGGATGATAATTATGCCACTACAGAGGAGGAGAAGTAACCGTGGTGTCTACTTAATTTAAGATCTAAAAAGATTAGGGTTAGGATTCCTCGTGTTGAACGAAATGCAAGAGGTTCTTAAAGAAACACCTACGTTCTATATTATCTTTTGTATATGTAATGATACTTATCAAAGGAATTGAAATCTCAAACATATCCTAAAATAATAATTTTAAGGTACCTTCCTTTAGTACTTTACGTACCACTTAATTTTCAATGTTGTAATTAAAATTTTCATTCTTCTCATATAATAAAATTTTGGAATGTTAATACAAACTTACGATTGCTGATTTCTTTTTCTTCTTCTCAATGAATGTCAGATGCAAAGATTAATCTAACGATACTTACACTTTTACTTGGAAGTGTACCGAGGTCAGAAGTACAGGCGAGTCCAAAAAGTTTTGTTATTTACAATCGGATTCTGCGCCGGTCTTGTATTTAATTTCCCGGAACGTTTTACCTTTGTAATTAGGAGAGTCATGAATTGTTAAGTTCTCTGTGGAGGGCAGTGGCACAGTCTATAGAATGGTTACAGTAGACATTCGATTTGTTTTTTTTTAACATGTTATTTGAGTTTCAAAATACAGACTATCAATTGTTTTGACATGGTAAATAAAATATAATTGCAATATGAAACAAACATTTTTAAAAACAGCTTATGTGCTTTTGTCGATTTGAGAATATACTTTATAGATAGGCCTCAAAAAGATCAGAGAGGTTAACATACTTTTCTGTACTAAAATAGGTCATTTAGTTGTAGAAGTAGGTCATTTATAACCTATGTGTATGTTTTTTTGTTTTAAATGCTGTTTCGTTTTTGGTCAAATCTACATTAAATACTGTCTGTAGTTTACGCGAGTAGTACACATTTTAATAAAACACTTCAGCGGGTTCTCCCCGTGACCACGGCTGCTGCAAAGCATCCGAAACATAGTCGTCGGCTCGTAGTTAAAGTAATTTTCATTTAATAAGTTATTTAATAAGATATATCGCGTTTTAAACATGTAATGTAATGTTTTATTAAAAAAAAACTCGTTGTATCTGAGGTATAAATTTCAGATATGTGCTATTTAAATAAAACACTTTATCGGTTGAAAACGCGATATATTAGTTAAACTTATTTGAAAATGATTTTTAAGTTC